CGCAAATTAGGGTTGCCAGCTGTTAAAACTGTGAGGTATCAAACATAAAGTAAAAGACAGATAGTTGCTTTTCTGTAAAAACAATATTTTTAATATTTGTCAGCGTAAGGTTTTATTCTATAAAAGCGTTAACTTAGCGTAAGAACTTAAGGATCGTGAGTTGGAATCCGGCCGTGATGAAAATTTTTATTTCAATCTCTTTTTTTCGCATCAGTACATATTCCAGATAATACAGGTATTCAAGTATATGAAGCGATTCTTTGTAAAGAAAATAAAGTCGACTTAACGTAGTAACACGGTAATTATTTAGCACACACAAACACCACACCATAACACACAAACTGTACTATATTACTAAATTATGGATATTGGCCTCAACTGTTAATCTGGTAAAGCAGAATCTATATAAATTGGATCGGCCTAAATTTGCGTTTTGTAAACCTTTAGAGGGTATTTGATAAGGTCAAGTTCAAGAACGTTATCCACTTATTGTCTGCAAGAGAGATACTACAGAAATAATCAAAACGATTGAAAATATCTACTAGAATAACAAAAGTATAATTAAAAGTCGATCGGATAGCCAAGCGGGCTGGGCGGCTGGCTTCTCCTTCGCTTTAATGCGAGGAATGTCAGTTTAATCCCCAGCTAGGTGTACAAAAAACAAAAAGGCTAACGCTCCAGTTTAAAATTCTAAATGAATCTACGGCTTAGTCTAGAATATGCTATATATATATATATATATATATATATATATATATATAATATATATATATATATATATATATATATATATATATATATATATATATATAATATTAAAAGTAGAAGAAGACCTACCTGACCAATTGAGGCAATTAAAAGGCAACGAGATAAGAAATAAGACAGGGTTTCTGAAGACTGAAGTCTCTGTTGTTCAACCTCATCATAGAACCCCCTCTGTGGCTCAGGGGTAAAGAGCGCCTACCTTTGAACCTAAAGGTCGTGTGTTCGAATCTCACTTAAGTGGAAATTTTCGTTTATTAAAAATTAATAAATGAAAATAATTTCTATCCTTGTGCCATCGGTACTCACCGGAGGGACCGCAGACGTTCGGATACAATTAGCGTCTCTTAGCAAAGACAATGACGTCGACTTTGCTAAGTATCAAGATAATTACTCTACACACACACACACACACACACACACACACACACACACACACACACACACACACACACACACACACACACACACACACACACACACACACACACACACACACACACACACACACTACACTAGGTACCTGACTGTAAAAATTCACTGTACCATGCCAATGACCATTAGTTGTCGACGCATTAAACTCAACAAAAAAAACCTCATCATGAATAAATTAATAAAAAAAATTTAAATGCGGCCTAATTATTTAGATGCACGTGTTTTAATGTTTATTCTTTAAAGCCATAAGAAGAGTAGTGAATACGTAACACCGAAGCATTCTCATGAGTAGTCCTAACCGTATATCCCGACAAAAAATAAAAGTTTAACGAATGATGCACGTGCTATTTTAATACGTGTCTTAATTTTCTTAATCCAAAAAAGGATTTCTTTCGATATCCTTCGTCGGGAAGGCGAAGGATTTCCTGACTGAAAAATCTACGAACGTGGTTCAACACAACAACCACAAATCTTTTTAGAGCAGCAGTGTGCAAAGTGCAGATTGCCATGATGGTTGTCAGCATCCGAAACGGATAGGCACTACAAGAAGAAGAAGAAGAAGTCTTAATTTTATTGGTTTGGTTCAAATTTGATGTTATCCATATTCCTAAGAATTTGTAGGTATCCACACTCTTAATTACAGTATTCTCAACAATTATTTGGATATTTGCATTTGCTGATTTATTCGTGATCGTGCATTTAATTTTTTTTTTTTTCGAATTCATTCTTAGTCCGTATTCATGGCAGCATTCATTTAGGCATTGTTATGATTTATTAGGCAGCATTCATTTAGCCAATCAAATTTATTCAAAACCTCTTTATTGATAGATAACAACTTCTTTAAATACCGCTACGCTGAGTAAATACCGCAACCCTGTCGGACTCCTCTCTGTGTCTTAATATCTTGTTTGTTCTACTTGTCAACCCTTACCTAGGAAGTTTGATTCCAATATAGATTAGATATAATTTTTATATCACGACTGTCAATATTTTTGCTTTTTAATACTTTCATAAGCTGTTTATGTTGAACCTTATCTTCCAAAAACTACAAAATATAAGTACGTGTCCTGATTCATATTCATGCATCTCTGCATGCGTTTTAATAATTCGATGGGTACATCATCTGGTCCAGTAGTTTTACCTTCCTTATGTTTTTGATGGCATAGATGAAAAATACAGGGAAAATGAAGTATTGAAAGAAGACGATCTCCTGGCTCAACAATCTGAGAAAGTGGTATAATTATAGTTCCGTTAACTCGTTCAGAGCTGCAATCTCAGAAGTGAAAATGGCTGTGATGATTACCAACCTCCTTAGAGGAGATGGTACCTAAAGAAGAAGGAGAAGAAGGCATAGATGACTTCTTCCCGTAATATTGGTGGTCCGATATTCTCTGTAATTTCTAATGACAGTTCTTCTCTTTTATCATTAAATAGCTTTTAGATATAATTGGTCCAGTGACACAATATTTCCTTTATATCAGTAATATTTCGTATAGAATTTTTAAGGATATCTTTTCTTGTGATTTTTCTACAACCTGTCATTTCTTTGATTTTTTTGTGTAAATTAAAGATATCATACTTTTTATTCAAAACTATTTGCTTGCATCTGTCAGAGACACTTTTTTGCCACTTGAATTTTCTTTCAGATGTTTTACCGAATTTCTTTAATTTTTTTTTAATTATTCAGCTCTTTTGATTTGTTTTCTCCGTTCTTCCATAAGTTCAAGTTCGAATATGACAACCTTATTTTGCCTAAGCGACAATGGCAATGAAACCACGAAAATCTCTAGCAAGCTACTGCCTTATGCCACAACGATCAATACACATATTCAATGGAAATATGCAAGAATGTGATACTTAGATTAAAATAATGTGATATT